CTAATCAAACTGCTAATTGTCAGACTTGTGGACTTGGTCCCCTCGCAGTAATGACAGAGACCCTGTAACATGACAGACGTTATACACGTTTATACATTGCTCCACGCCGTGTGCTGCTCAGGGAACATCTAGTCTGCCCAAGTCCCAGTGCAAGTTCATCGCCTGGATCTAAAGCAGCACAGACTGCAGCTGGAGCGAAAGACACCTAACTGCAGAGACGAGGGACGACTCGGGACGGGGCTGAGGCCGGGCAAGCCTCGTGTCTCTTCCAAGCCCACAGAAACGACCGTATCGACGTTAAAAATAAATAAAAAAGACGAAAGCCATAGCGACGAACAGAAAAGGGCCATCGAGTGAGATGTTTCAGCACTCTGAAAGACAGCGAACAGAAGTGCCTTAGCGCACGAAGCGGAAGCCGCCTACAGAACCTGGCCTAACCCACTCGGACGATCACAGGTGAGGGGGCGGACCTGCCCAACCCCCAGGGGCTCACCCGGTCTACAGGTGCAGTGGAGGGCGGACGGGAAAAGCAGGGCGTGACACAGAACTGGTGAGAGCCACAGTAGCCAGCCAGCCCCAGGCCCCACACAAGGACCCACGGTCAGCAAGAAAACAGAGTTTTTCCCTTAATACACTGAACAAACTGGCTGAGGTGACTTGACACTTCCGGCATAGGTAACGGCGTCCTTAGACAAAGCCCTTCACATTCTGGCATTAGGGAAAGTGGTGATGGTCGAGACGACCTCCCGGGCCCATTTTCTTCGCCTCTCGTTGAGGAGGTGGCGGGAAGAGACTGCTTAGTCCACCGAGAACCATCAGATCACCTCTCCCACTAGGATGGGGTAAATGACAATCGCCAGATACGTGACAAGATAACCAGCAGGAAGAAGAGAAACACCACGGCAACAAAACAAGAGAAAGTGCGTTGGGCATGATGCCAAGTAAATAAGGCAGTCCCAGAAAGGCAAACATGGTGTGTGATTCCGCCTGTGGAGGCACCTAGCAGAGGGAGATCCATGGGGACGGGAAGTGGAACAGAGGCGAGGTCCCGGGGCGGGGGACGAGAGAAGGCAGAGGGGTTTGCTGGGGAAGATGGAAGGTCGGGGTACAGACAGCTGTGGTGCTTTACAGCCATTGTCAGTGTGCCTAATGCCACTGACTTGTACTCGGACGAATGGTTACGACGATAAATGTTACGTACCGTATATTTACAACAATAAAAATGAAAACAATCACTCTGGAGATTCAACAAATGGTGCTGTGACAACTGGATGAAGCTGGATGCCTACCTCACACCGTATACAAAATTAACTCAAAATGGATCGGAGGCCTAAATGTATGAGCTAAACCTATGACATTCTTAGAAGAAAACACAAGTATAAATCTTCGCGCCCCTGCATGAAGCAATGGTTTCTCAGATGTGACACCAAAAGGACAAGCCAAGAAAATAAGTTAGACTTCATCAAAATGGAAAACTTCTGTGTTTCAAATGATACCATCAAGAAACTGCAATAATAGTCTACTGACCGGAAGAGAATATTTGCAAATCACACGAGAGATTTATATCTAGAATATACAAAATCCTTTTGGAAAACAGCCTGGCAGTCCCTCAAAGTGTTAAACATATGGTTAGCATAGAACTTAGCAATTCCATTATATCCAAAAGATATATAAACATGTCACACAAAAACGTGTACACAAAATTTCACAGCAGCATTGTTTATATTAACCAAAGAGCAGAAACAAGCCAAGTGCCCATCGACAGACGGATGTGTGCACACGATGGGACGTCACGCGGCTACGGGAAGGAGCGAAGTGCTGACACCTGCTGCGACCTGGTGACCTTTGAAAACGGGATGCAGAGTGGAAAAAGCCAGGCGGAAAACACCGCATACTCTACGCGAGCGTTTATACGACATATCCAGCACAGGAAAATGCACGTAGACAGAGTGTAGACTAAAGCAGGTGCCCAGGGCCGGGGCGGGGAGAGGGAGGGGTCCAAGGATGTGGAGAGGGGCTGTCGGAAGGCTCAGGATTTCTTGCCGGTGTGATGGAAACGTTCCGGAAATGATGGTGGCGAGTACACTAAAAACCATCGAATTGTACACTTTAAATTAGTGAATTGTACTAAATGTAAATGACATCTCCATAAAGCTTTCATGAAAAATGAATGACAGCCATTATTGTTTTAAAAATTACTCTGGAGAAAAAAGGTGACTCAGGGAGCAGAAGAAATCTTAATTCCCATTTTCACTCACAGAAAAACTTATGAAGATAAATTATCCTCTAAAATAAAAGAAAGGACGATCAAGACGGCCTAGACCAGCGTTTCTCTGCTGTTCTTATCACAAGTATCTACCCTGGAAAGAATTCAACGGATCGCGACGGGAGGACTCTGAGCTGGGGAGAGGAGGAAGCTGGTCTGGCTACCGGCTTCAGGACCCGACGAGGCCGTGCGGTGACAGCCTGTGGTCCCTGCGTGCTGGCGGAGCCCCCGAGAGGCCTGCAGCCTGAAACCCCCAGAGGCTCAGGCAACAGCTGTCAGTCTGGTCCTCCGCATTCCGGGCGTGGAATGTGCCAGGAGCCCTGAACCTACAGAGGGGTCGGCCCGTCTCAGTTCAGGCATGCTCTGCTTTCTCGGTTCTGGAAACTTCTTTCTGCCCCAACCTTCCTGGGAAGCACTAAGCTGACTCAGCAGGCCTGGGTTGTTCAGACCCGGAACATTCCCACGAAAGGCGTGTGTTCGGGACCGGCCCCTGGCTGGCTTCAGGGAATACTCTGTCATGGGGAGGGGTTTCGTGCACCCGGGGCCTGGGCCACACTGTAGCAGTAAATCCAGATGGTTGATGCCGACAGTGTGATTTGTGGTGGACATCTGCTTCTTCCCCGGGCAGCGAGAGCTTGAATAAGCAAGGTCAGTCATGGGGGCACGAAGCAGGGAGGGGCCACACGCCCACAGGACTGACCCCCAGTAAAAGCCCTGGACACTCGAGCTGGGGCAAGTGTCCTGTGCCAAAGTGCCGGCAGCGCTCTGCGTGTGTCACACGGCACTGCTGGGTGGCTGTGCCTCGTGACTCCGCTGGGAGAGGACGCCTGGGAGCTGGTGGCCAGTCTCCTGCGGACTTGGCCCGCGTGCCGTCGCTGATTTTATCCCGTTACCCTTTCACTGTGATGAACCATAAGGGCAAGCGTGACAGTCCTGGAAGTCCTTCTAGTAAGTCGCTGAGGCTACGGGTGGTCCCAGGACCCCAACACGTCCTCCTTCGAAGTCAGGGGATTGTCTGAACTTGACTATTCTCTAGTTGCTTTTTCCAACATCCGGCAGGGTTCAAAGCTTCCGGTCAACCCCCACGCACCAGTTAACTGCAGTCGGGTCCGGCTGATCGTGGCCGAGACCTCTGAGACCACATTTCCAGAAGAGGCTGCATCTGGTCTCCATATTACGTCAGCCACGTCACTCAGCCCCAGCAATTAACGCGGGCCAGCACAGTGTCGGCTGCTGAGAAAGCAGCAGCAGTGGGGCCCCCACCACGACCGAGCTGCCAGCGGCGTGGCATGACAGCGCCCGGCGATCTTCTGCTGCCAGACCTCCCCATCGCCTCTCTCTAGCGATGACACAGAACTGTGCACAGGCGCGACCCACGTGTCCTCACCTGGAGCAGGTGTCTTAGCCAGGCCGTGGCGCCACCTGGGAGGCGTGCCACAGGTAAGTTAGCAGCAACGTGAGAAAATGACTTCAGTATAAAGAAACACATGGATTGAATTCTCTGTGAAGTTCTGATGACCTTCTTGAGTGGCAGAGAAAGAGCCGCAGGTGTATCCCGTGTCAAAAGTTACACATAACCCACAGTCGTCCTTCTGCGTCAACAACGAAACTGGCAGATTTTGTGAACCATGTGCTTTGATGCCCTCTGGCTCCTGCCCCCACATCTCACATCTGAGACCTATTACCTTACATCCTAAGAAAAGGCTTTGAGCTCCACCGCACTAGCAAAGCGGGTCACCCATGTGAGATGCTATGCGGATGACACACGATGGCCTTAAAACGGCAGCGTCGCAGCACTGGGTAATGTAAAGTTAAACGGAGTCCCTACATTACCATTTCTTCAAGCGAAATTGCATGCCTCGAGCATGTACAGACGACACTTACTGCACTGACACGCGTGGGGACAAGGACAGAGGCCGAGTCCTCGCCTTATACAGAAGCTAACAGGCCAGTGAGGAGTTTCTATCACGTATTAACACAGGGATTTTATATTCTTGAGGAAATCTTAACATTTATTTAAAAGTCTCCCAAACAGCTTTTCATCTATAAAAAACACTCTGAGTAATGACATCTTTTGCTGAAGACTCGCAAAAGAACCAGAGACACGGTGTGACCGGCCCAGTGGGTCCACTCGTTTTTAACGGTCCTCATTTCCGGTACCATCTAATGCTTGAGGGTTTGCTCAGGTCAACATCAATCTCGCTGATCCTGCAAACAGCTTATTTCGTGACATGACGTCCTCTGAATCGTAGGACTGAATATAAAAAGTGTAAAACGTTCTTTCGCCCGACATGCCACCCAATACTGAGAGCAGCTCTGTGCATCACCCAGTCCTGTCACAGAGACACAGCGCTGGAGGGACACGGAGCACGGGGGACCTCACGCCGTTCAATGATACCACAGTCTCATCTGTCCCCACCACCGACACACACTGCGTCTTCTCAAAGACACCCGACGCCTGAAGCGCAGCCGCCGTGAGGACACCAGTGCTTACCTGGAAGACACTTTGTTGGACACATCTGACTCACACGTCCCCGTTTACAAATAGCTCCGTCCCGCAGGTAAATTTTTAAAAGTACGGTTGGCATACAAACAGGAAAAGCTTAACGCATCAGAAGAGGGAGGAGGCTTGCCCTCAGAAGGAGCAAGAAAAGCCCCATTTAGAATGAAATTTCTTCTGAATGAAGCTCCACCTGTCCTTGGGTGAGTTAAGTGAAGAAACAGAGGCCTCTACCTGGTTGGAGAACCTCATGCTGACATTCCGCTGCTCCTGCAGAGGGATGTAGCGCTGGGCGGGGTCGAGGTCTTTGGGGCTGACGAGCTCATCAGCTGGGGAAAAAAAAAAAATGAGGAAAAGGACATTACCAAAAACGCATTTGTACAACGACGTAAACCGACAGAACCTAACGGACGTTTAGAGGATGCTCCATCACCAAGAGCAGAAAACGCATCCTTCTCGATGGACACGGAACACCTTCCACGTGCTGGGCCAGAAAGCAAGGCTCAGTGAGTTTCAAAGGATTAAAGTCACACAGAGTACATTCGACCACACTAGAATCAAATTAAAAACAAGTAACAGAAAGAACTTTAAGAAATGACGTCTGTTCTTGCCCCCTGTATTCAACACTGTACTGGAGGCTCCAGCCAGAGAAATAAGGCAAGAAAAAGTAATAAAAGGCATCTATCTAGTTGAAAAGGAAGAAGCTACAGTAATTAAGACCGTGCGGTGCTGGCATAGAGACAGACACGGAAATCAGTGGAATAGAAGTGAATGTCCAGAAATAAACCCTTACGTTGAAGGTCAATTGATTTTTGCCAAAATGATTAAATGAGGAAAAGAATAGGTCCCCTCGCTCCCCGCACATATAGTGCTGGGACAACTGAACATCAAAATGCGAAAGAATGAATCTGGACCTCTTCCTCACCCCATCTACAAACATGAACTCAAAACAGATCCAAAAGTTAAATGTAAGAGCTAAAACTGTAAAGCTGCTAGAGGAAAATAGTAAATCTGTGACTGAGTTAGACAAAACTACGACATCAAAACATTAAGTGACAAAAATAAAAATGAGTTAAGTCGAATTTTGAAAAAATTATAACCTTTTGTACCTTGAAGGACACTATCAAGAAAGCAAAATGACAGCCCACGGAATGGGAGAAAATGTTTGCAAACCATTTACCTTTTAAGGGACTTGTCTCTCGAATATATAAAGAACAATTACAACTCAATAATAAGAAGACAACCTGATTTACAAAGGGCCACAGTGTCTGAATAGCTTATTTCTCCAAAGAAGATACGGAAATTACCGATAAGCACATGAAAAGATGCTCAACGGTATTAGAGATGCAGAAGTCCTTTTCACATGGTGGTCCCTTGCGGCAACTTGTGATAAAATCTGAGTATGTAACAAGGAAGGCAACTTCGAGCGTCTGGCAGGGGAGGCCGGGAAGCGGGGACGCTCCTGGAAGAGATGGGGCTTGGGGGTGGGGCGACCCCGAAACGCAGTTCTGTGTCACGTCGCTGGAGCGCCAGTGGGCAGCAGCTGTGTGGGTTTACAGAGCGCATCGTCCCGGACCGCATCCCCCCGGACCGCGGTCCGTTATCTCAGCTACGCTGGGCCGCGCGGAAGGCTGACGCGCACCCCGCTTCTCCCGAAGCGAGTCGGCGCCCTTCCTTATTTCCACGGCACGTGAGCTGCGAGGACGCGCTCATTTCCTCCTCGAGCTTCAGTCTGACATGACACGTGCAAACGACACCATGCTGGCTTTTCTATAAATTCACCGTGTTTGATATTTACTTTAAGAAAAATCACACCTCGTTTCCACAGCTTTTTAGGTGCTGCTTTTAGGCAGCGAATAACTGAGAGCGGAGAGTCCACCGCCCAAAGGCTTGATGGTCCCTTCGCGGCCTGGGGAGCGTTTCTCATTATATTTCTAGTCTGGAGTAACTGCGAGGCACATGTGCAATGTCATCCATTAGACAAAATCACCAAAGGCACTTTTAGCAACTCTCGGAAGATGTCTTTAATCATAATAAAAGTGACATTAATAATAGAATAACAAGACAAAGAAGAAGCCGCAGCAGCAGCAGCTGCACCAGCACCTACGTAGTATCCCTTACGCTCCTGGCACTGTCTGAGCATCCCATACATTAATTTATAATCTTCGCGACTCCCTTGTCATGTCACAGACGATGAGATGGAGGCAGCGAGAGGTGGCCACTTGCACCGGGCTGGTAAGTGACGGGGCCTCGGCTCGAACCAGGCAGGCCGTCTCGGAGTCTGGGCTCCTGACCACGCACTCACCCTGAGAACACTGACGCCCTATGTAACACAGAGGACAAAGACCCCAGGACGAGGAAACAATCCACCAACAGTTTGGACCTCGTTATGTCATAGCTTCCTACCCAAATCAAGAAGCATAGTGCAGAAGGTGCTTCTCTCACTCTGAAAGGAAGAGACTTTTGCAAAATTTCAACCAAACCAATATAGGTTTAATTATGGCCAATATCGACATATAATTTCAATTTATTAATAGCAGTTTAGTTCCCGATGCAGGGTTGATTAGTACAGTGATATTCTAAATAGCATCGGATTCGTTCCCGATCTCATTTGTCTGATCACTGAGATGTGAAAAAACTTCCACTACCAAAAAGCGTTTTATACAGTTAATGTTTCACTGTCATCCTACAGAAATGAAATTCTATCTACATATAAATGATAACCGATAAATTCAGAAACCTTATATCCTTGGAAAGCATAAGTGCTCGGCTACTGAAATTGACATGAATAAAATAGTTAACCTAGTCTTTGGAAAAAGCTTATTTCTTTGTATTTTTCCTCATTTCTCTCTTTGTACTGCATCTGTATGTCTAGCTTGATGCGCTTCCAGCTGCTACCCTGTGCTCATCTATAACCTATAACCCTACAGGCGGTAGCTTCTTATTCACGGTTATACCCGACCTGGCCTATAGCAGGCGCTCAAGATACCAAATAAACAAAATAATAAGCCGGTGAGTGAACAAATTTGAAAACATTAATTGCTTTAATTGCTATAATTAAATTTTCATTTCCATAATGGTAAAAGTAACTCTTACTTTACAAGGTCAAGTTAATAGACATTTTTTTTTTTTTCACCGCCCTGGTTTGCATTGTTCAGGAAGCAAAACAGAGCACCTACCTCACTGTGCCAATTCCCGGCACTGGTTTTCTGGGGAAGTGTGACAAGCCTGCAAGAATTTGCACCTGACCAGCTACAGAATATTTAAAATGAAAAGAAAAGAATAAAGATGAAAGAGGAATGGCTTTCTACATCGCCCAACACAGTAGCGAGCCTCACAGCTAATCAAGCATTTCTATAAATAGAACAGCTGTCTCTAAACCCCAAGGGGGCAGAGGAAATCGTTAACATTTGCATTTTTTAAGCACAGAAAGGTTTATGAACACACCCTGAGGTTACCTCAAACAATAATTGCTGAGGGTAAAAAAAAATTCAAAAAGACGTTTGTTTCTTTAATGAAATGACAATTGAAAGAACAGTTAACAGAGCGAGCGATTTTTTTTTTTTTATCATGACACCAAAATTACAGGACACACTAAAAACAGGTTCAGAAGATAATTTACAGGGTAAAATTATGTGCTTCAAAGCCTAACTGATTATCAGCTGCATGGCGCATCTCAGTAGCATACGTATTAGGAAAAGCCCAATGGCGACGGAGAAAATGTAGGTCCTTAACCTCATACGTTACACCAAAACATCCCAAATTTATATGTATGTTTTCAACTTAATTAACAGAGATAGACTTTCTAAGGTTAAGCGTTAGAGTCCACAGTAGAAAATAAACAAGCGATGACAGATTTGACTATATAAACACTTTAAATTCATTCATTGAAAAACAGCACAAGAAAAGTTTGGAGGTAAACAAACTAGGAAAACACCAGAGAGGCTGAGACACACAATATATAAAACATTCATGCAGATTGATAAGAAAAACCATAAAACCAAGGTTAAATGGGCAAAGCGAATAACTAGACAATTTACAGGGGATACAGAAATAAGAAATATGTTTTTAACAATCAGCATGTAAATGAAAACAGGATGCAAAGTAATAGCTCATTAAGTTAGCAAAGTGTTTATTTATAATGAGTACATTTAATGCCATAAAGGTTACAGGTGACACAATTAACTCTGCAGATTCCTGAATAAGTCAATAAAGACTCTGTCAGTCATGGGCTGTGTGGCTTTGCTCAGTTCTCCCGAGCCTCGGTGATGACACACAGTACTCATCTCAGAGAAGTTAGGGGGATCACTTAGGGTAACATTTGTAAAGGGCAGAGCACAGAATTCGACACGTTTTAAGGCAGGTATTATAATTAGTTACCTCTGCGAAACGGCCTGAGACTCCAGGTGTCATTGCTTTTCTATTCAATTTTATTAATATATTTGAGGGCAGGATCATAAGTTTTTTTAAACAAGTTTTCTAGCCTTAGTAGCAATTCGACTAACACTTTTAGTTTCAAGAAAGCCAGTCGTTTATACAAGCTAAAGGAAGAAAACCTTCTTAGGTGAAGCTTCTAAAGTCATACCGTGTTACGTGTGCTCTCAAGATGTTTATAGTGCCCGATTCACGGAATCTCTCTGTAGGTCGCCAGCAATCACGTGGACGCCATAAGACACAGCAGAGGTGCCGAGAAATAGAGGCCTTTCTGCTTGGAGTTCCCCAGAGTGTGACAGCTGAGACGTCTCTGAGCGGCCACGGTGTGCAGACACCTCTGTGTGCTCTTTCTCCCCCATTCGCTTCATCTTTAACTGACCAGTAGGGAAGCCACGTGCTACGCTGACTGAGGCGCCACCTGCATCTGAAGTTAACAGACCAACGAAAGCCAAGCCCCCGGCTTCCGCCGTCCTCACGCTCACGAGGTGCACCTGGTCACCGACGTTAACGTTTAAAAAGCATTCGGGTTCCAGGCTTAATCGATGGCTTTTGTATTCGAGGCCAATTGGGCAAGAAATATCGTTAATGGAATCCAGTGCGAATGGCCTTGACTTCGTGACAAACACTGGAACGAGGCAGTAGTACACCAGAATAACTGGGCTGCCCTCAGAGACAAAAATGTTTCCTAGGCTGTCACACTCCCTTCTTGCTGTAGAGTCACTGGACGGCACAGCGACTGGCAGAGTAGGTCTCTACCGACGGCCGTTGGACCATTGAGTAAGTAGCAACTAGCGAAGTGTTTTCTTCGTTATCTTCATATTCCTCGTGATGTTTTGTGGCTCCGGGGTTTCCCCAAGGAAGGCCCATGAGCGTCCCGAGCTGCCTCGTTAGCAAGAACTATGAAACTATTTTCACAAATACTGGCTCCTAAATGGTGGCTGAGAGAGGGAGGGAGTGGGAGGGAGGACAGGAAGGAGAACAACCATGTAAGTTTGTATTTGTCCCACGGTAAATACTTTAAGTATTATATCCTCATCAGTTAATCCTTACAACAGAAAAATAAAGAAACTGATGATCACAGAAGTTAGGAAAATTCTTCAAGTCACTAAGTAATAAGTAGCAGAACTTGAACTCAAACCCTGAACTGTCTAGTTTCTAAGTTCATGACCCCAAAACTCTTGATGGTTCTGCAATAGTCCAAGAAAGACGTGGAAAAAAAAGGAAATGAAACCAAAGGACGAGAAAGTGGAGGAAGAGGAAGATAATGTCAGAAATAATCTATATCACATGGTTACGAGTTTGCTGGGTGTTCATAATCATTTAAAACATAGTTTCCACTGGAAAATAAACTGAGCTGCAAACGATGTACCAAAAAACTTGAGAGACCCAAAGAACTAAATTAGGAACTCTGCATGTATATAACATTTGGGATATTTTAAAGTACTTCTATACCTATTTTATCGCATTAACAGTCTCTATTAATACTCCTAGTAAATTAAATAATACCTATCCCAAAAAGAAAAAAAAACTTGTAAAATTCAAGAAAATTTCCATTTACCTGAATATTTTGGGAGTTCGTGTGTATTAGAGAGAAAGTTATAGTTAATTAAAATTGCTCGATAATTCAAGCTCATTCAAAAAAATATGCCTCATTTTAACTCTCGATGTTTATTAATAATGTTTTCAAAGTAGCCATCCTAAAAAAAATTCTTGTATTAACCTATCTTCGGTCATACAGTATGTAAAGCTCCCATCTTTAATGATCTGGGACCTTATGGTCCCACCAAAATGAAAATTGTCCCGAGTGTCTTGACGCTCGAGGTGAGGAAAGTTGGTTGCGTACACGTTGAAAAGACAAACCAAGGTCTAGAAGTCAGATTTTCTGTAAAGCTACACAATTATAGTTTCTTTTTTAAAAATATTGAATAAGAGAATACATTCAACTTAAATAATGGCTCTGGGGAAGTTTTAGAGGAAAGGTATCATTAACCTTACGTTATCTCATATTCCTCGTTTTCTTAATCTCAAAATAAATTCAGTGCAAAGATCATAATTTCCAAGTGACTGTTATGTGATAAATACTAAGGTTATTTCTGCCAAATAACTCAAAAGGCACACGGCTTTCTAGACCGACCGTCTCTTACGCAGGTAGTTTCTAAACTTCCATATTTAACAATGGAAGGTATAACGAATGATCGTTTTATTCCAAGACACGTCAAATGTTATATCTCAAAATATGTCTATCTGATTTAAAATAAACATGTTTATAATTTATGTACCTATTTTCTAGCAAACACTGATTTTCTAAAAGTCTAATTTTTCTAAAGAAAACATGCTGTAATAATGAACTATTTTCTGAGAACACAGCGGGTGGTTCCGGGCCCGGGAAACAGCGTGTCGAGTCTCTTCGCTCTGACAGCGGAAGAAAAGCCACATCGTTTTACTGAATGATTATTATTCACTAAGGCAAACTTAGAGCAAAATCTCTTCATTAGGTCTCACCGGATACAAGCTCACCTGAGTTAGTGAAAGTTATGCACAAGTACAGAATCTTTTTAAGGATTTATTATTTTCATGTAACTCCAACTAACTGCCCACAAAATACTGTCATCAAGCAAATATCCAACTGAGGCTCCCTTGATGCATAAAAGGGACTTTGTTAGTAAACGAGGTGTCTGGGGTCTTAATAACATCCACGCATGTTTGAAGGTCCTTGGGGCAAGTATACAACAGTTAAGAGCAACCAAAGAATTCGGTCTTGAGTCTTATTCATCTCAACCAGCTACTGAGGAGACGACGCACGCCTGGGTCAGGGTACTAATGAGCAGGCAGCATCCCTGCCTGGTTTCCACTGCCTTTCTGGAAGCTCAGCAGGGAAAAGCGACTCTGACTCTTCTTTGAAGTCTTTCTTCTTTTTGATTATGAAACAGAGATTAAAGCAGGACCTGGACTATTTCTGTTCACTCTGCTCTTACTATAAGAAAATGCTATTTATACTCAAAATGTCTACATTCGGTATATTTATTTTGGCATAAGGAAGGTCCAATGCTTTTTTACTGGCTGATGCTATTTTCAATCTTTTTCTTTTTTTTTTTTTAAGCTCAATCTGCTTATGTGGAGTATGGTCGATTCTGCATTTCCAACTCATTAACCTTCTTAGTTTTATCCAGAGGCTTTACTCAAATAGCACTGTTTCTAGCTGTATCGATCTCAGGCTGGATATATAGCAAAAAGCAGGATGAAGGTTTAGATGTCAAGTCCCATGTCCTAGGTGCCAGTTTTCGGCCTCAGAGTCACAGATGATTTTCATCAGAAACGTGCGATTTTGACGTTAAAATTCCTCAATTACAATATTTTTTATTTACTGTATCGATATGGCTTCTTTGTAATACTGTAAGCAGAGATAAGCTTCCCAACTTGGCTTGATTCTAAGAAAACTACTTCGAGGAGATACATATTTTTTTTGGGGGGGGAGCGAAATATATAAGCAAAATCTGTATAAAGAATACTAACTCCATATCAAAAAGCTGTCCACTTACAGAAAGAAAATTTTTTTGCAGGTTCTTAAATTAGCATTATTTGGAGCTCCAGATAACACAGTTAGGAAATGGGAACATCGAAAACAGCATTAACTTAATCCTCTCTTCTTTAGCTGGCTTCTGTTTACTCTCCTATATTATTTGCGAAAAGCCTGAATTGGCGATCTGGACTCTGAATTATTCTTCCCTAATGGAACGTAAAAGAAGCAACCAGAGACGGTGAGCCTCACGGCGCAAAGTTAGCATTTCTGCAGAAACGCTAGTGACGGCAAGACAATGGCAGCAGAACAGTGACAGCGAGCAGTTCTTGCGGTGCAGAGTGTTTACAACCCGCCGTGTCACGATGACAGCCTTTTTGATGGAAATGCTAATAATATTTGATATTTTAGCAAGGAATGGTGCAGGAAGATGGAGAATGCTTTTTCGTGTTCATTCAGTTAGACTTCATTTCAATGTGTCCAAAGACTATTCCTATTAAGCTGAAGTTTCGGGAGAAGCTGAAAAGTAACTCTTCAAAGAATCATGAACAACAGTGCCGTTAAGCGTCCAGCCAGCTGAATAAACTGCCAACGTGCATTTACTGGGAAGAAGAGAACTCTGAGGTAACCGATTCCTTGAGGTAAATGGCTTGCTGACGCTATGACTAAACGTGATTGTCATATTAAATCAGAATTTTATTTCACTATATAAAAGTAAACCAAAGTTCCCACAGTCTTCTGCGAGAACCCTCCCCACTAAGCTGAATGCAGTCTCCTAAAGGGTCGTAACAGCACCCACACTCATCTGACCATCTTCCCACAAACTTTCCATCCTCCAGTAAAGAGACAGATTTACACACCTTTACATCCCAAGAAACTCCCCCAAGACCTCCTAACAGCACAAAAGCCAAGCAAATCCTAGAAAAATGTCAGCAGACACATACTTACTTCTAAGGGCTCGAGAGCAAGGGATAAAATCGATCCCAACTTTCCACACTTACCCAGGAGTTTTGCGATGACATAAAGGGCTTGTCCCCAGAGGAAGAGTTTTCCATCACGGCCACAGTTGCTAGGAAATCGCTTTTGACTACCGGGGTTTCTTTTCTCAAATTCTACAAAATCAGCTGGCACGTAATAGTACTTTGGTACCACGGGATAACCTACGGAATTGAGAAGTAAACATTTAAAATACAACGAATCGGTGTCCTAACCCCAGTTTTCCTTCAGGAAACTGCAGTGACTGGAAAGTGGGCAGAGGGAGGTCACACAGAAGGGAACAGATCCGACAGGCTACAGGAAACCGGATATTGTGGCTCCTTTCAGAAACTGCTAGTGAAAAATGTAGAAAAAGCTTTTCGACTTGAAAACACGAATGTGACGGCATATGCTCTGCGTCAGCCAACAATGTGTACATAATCCCCTTCGACAATGTTTAATTTTAACACCTTTAAGTGAATCAACAAATATACTGTATGCAAATATTTAGAGCCATAGGAGCAGCTATGTTTAATAGGATTAGCCCGTGGAAGCTTTGCAAATGAGGTACTGTGTCATCTTAAATGAAGAATTATAACCCTGAGCCATCGCTTAGAGCAAAGGAATCCTCATTTTAAACATTAAGCCCATTATCTCTCATTCAATATCGCTAAAGAGAAAAAGATCCATCTTCCCCTGTGACCAACCCGTTTGAAGATATTCTTTGGTAGAAAACTAAACATGATTATTTATAGACTGCAATCTCTGTGAATGATATCAAAAGGGGAACGAAAGCATCCTAAGACTTTTTTTTTTTGCAATAACAGCCCCTGGTGAACTTAATTTTCCTAATAAAATTGCACAGATTTCCCTAAAGTTTGCTTCCTTTTTCACACGTCAATCAATAGTGACATTGGTGTCTAAAACGAACAAGTTCAATGATGCACAGAGACTAGTTCAGACATTACTCTGTGAACATGATGAAGCCTAAAGCGTGGTCCCCAGACCACCACGGCGTATCAATCCACCTCCAAACACTAGATTTGATTCAAGGGACTTCAAATATTATATTCATTACGACATTCATCATATTATTTCTCACACTGGACAATGATTCTTGGCGGGGGGGAGGCACAGAAACGTACGTAACTGGTTTTAAAAATTAATGTAAATTTGGAATTCAGTGTTTATCCATGAACATTTCACCTTAGCATTCCAAGCATCTTAAAGGGTGAGCACATACGTGAAGCATCTACTCCAAGATACTTGTAGAAAACCCTGGAGAATACCACGAACCTCACGTGGGGTGGGAATGGGGCACAGTGCTGTGGCTGCCAGTTCGCTTATCATGCCCAAAAGACCATCCACGTTTTGCCAACACATAATAATTAACTTCCAGATAAATGTTTTCAAAGCTACTCATTCATGAAAATACATTCTTATTTTGCTAATTCTTCCAAACCCCAGAGATATATGGAATCTCTCGTTTGGAATTCCTCTGAGAATCAGTTTTCCAGTCGCACAGAGAAACTGGTCGCTGTTTAACCGAGACCACTATGCCGCTCATGGCCTGAGCATTCTTATTTTGCTAATTCTTCCAAACCCCAGAGACATATGGAACCTCTCGTTTGGAATTCCTTTGAGAATCAGTTTTCCAGTCACACAGAGAAACTGGTCGCTGTTTCACGGGCACTGCTGGCATTTAACCGAGACCAATATGCCGCTCATGGCCTAAACCATTTAATCGTCTGTAACACGTCAGATCCATCCTCAGAGGATGACATCCTAGCACCAGGGCGGACTGTCAGAACAACCTGCTGCCGGCCCTAGAGGCGACCCCAGGAAGCAGAGTGCTCCGGGTGAAGGGTGACGGTGGCGCCTCTGGGCCAGGCTATAGCCTCTGTGCGGCCCGCTGCAGGGGGCAGCACGCCCCTAACGCAGCATTTCTGGGGACCTGGGTAAAATCAGTCACTTCTCGTTACTGTCACACTGCATAGGTAAAGGAGTTACACAGCAGGTAACTAACAGGTGAAGAACCTGTGCCCACCTGGCAAACCGCTGTGTGATCACGATAGCCATGACCACCTAATCCATCACCTTCCCGTCTCGCCAAATGACTTCCTTTCACGAAAACAAATTTATTATAACAAATTAATAGATTATTCTTTCTACTTCATTTAAGGCCCCATTTACTTTTTCGATTTAGTATAAATTGCGCTGTTTAAAAGGAATCATTTATACATTTTGAAGGAACATTAAAGAGATATTAGTGGGAAGAGTTTCTTGAAGAAAAAAAAACAATCCAACTATACCTTCTGTGGTCTGATGAAGTATGGGGGTCAGGAGATCCTGATATTCCTTTACTTGCTTGGGATTGCCTCTAAAAACTCCTGAAACGTAAAATATAAAACACAATAGCATCTGAGCTCAATAAGCACCACAGAAATTTTACCTTAGACAAATCTATTAGCCCAGTTATAATTATTTTGGTAATTTTCTATGTAAATGATAAAAATAAAATACAAAAAATGTAATGAAAAAGGGTAAATACGTGTGTGACATTTTTTCCAGGAAATCGATTTTAGAAGGTCATGCTGGCATTTAGAATTGAAAACTGAATTTTAATGGAGATTTCTCTAGTCTCAAGTGTCAATGTTACGGATATTCACAGTGTCACAAATGACAGTGTTCATGATTCCTATTCATAAAAATCTTTGTAAATATGAAAATATATTCGCGTCATTTTTAAAATAATTCACAGTCCTATTTAATTTTTCTGGATGGTTTCACATTCGCTCAGAAAGCAGGGGCGTGGTGTATAAAACTGCCAGCAGCAAGCATGGCCGACTGCAGCCTGCCTCGCCAGCAGAAAGGAGTCACGCCCGTGTCCGCTCTCCCTTCAGATGCTTACATCCCCCGTAGCTGAAGTTTCAGGAGAAGCTCACTTACCGTCGATCATCATGTAAAGAAAAAATATGGGGAATTCACATTCAATGCCGTCAAAGAGCTAAAACGGAAAATGAAATATTTTAAATTTCAGTAACAATTAATGAGGACAATCATATTAGTTAGAACAATTGTATTAATTAGAGCAATTATAGTTAGGATATACAGAAGACTTATTTATAGTTCTAACAAGATTAGACTAGTTTTATAAGTAGTTTCACTGTTCTTTTTTAAAAAAAATTCTCAGAACTCTTATCATTCAAGAGCTTGTTCATTTAATCCATCGCACGTTGTCATTCATTCAATTAATCCTTACTGAGTACTGAGGAACGCCTGGCACCAGCCAGGGGACAAAAAGATGGAGAACCTGCCTTCGGGGGCTCACGGCCCCCTAGGGAGGCAGCACGTCCGTGACCCGCTGCAGCTCCCACCCTCGTGAAGTGACGTGTCTACGCATGGTGCCTCTGGGTCACAGGGAATGCCACCTGAGCCTGCCCAGGGCTCAGGGAAGGGTTGATAAGGAAGGAGAGGCCCCGCTCTGCTGACGTCTCTCTAGGGACATGAGCGGAGGGAGAGGCCGAGTAACTTGCCCAAGGCGAGTGAGTGGCAGGGTGGGACCCCTGCCGAGAAGTCCCCTCCCAAACCGGTGCCTCTGACCCCTCTGCTGTGCTGTGGGTCCGGGCCGTTCCTCGATACCTTGATTTCAGCTGGTTTGTAGTAGCGTCTGTGGGGATCTTCCAGCGCCGTTCTATACCCATCTCTCAAGAAACGCTTAAATCCATACTTTCCCTTTAATTTTCTAACCACTTTATCCAGTGTCTGGTTAAACAAAGCTTCGTCATCCAGGGCGAATGCAGGATAACTGATGCAGGGGAGCAGGGCGGCATCTGTGTTCTGGGGGGCGACACGGAAAAAGGGGGCCATGTGAGTGCCCACGGGCTGGGGCCAACGCAGCCCCATGAGTCACCAAGGGGGCCTGCGGGGAGCCTGCTGTGCTCCGAGGACAGGCAGGTGCTACCGGTCCTACCAGTGTGGCTCAGCGAGCCTCGCGGAGGAGATAGAACGGGGCTCATTAACGAGATGTGTTTTCAAGTTCAACACTGAACTCAAACTTTAAGATATTAACGAAGACGGGGTATAAAAATTTGACACCAGTAGTTATTACAACTTGGTTTATAACAGTGAAAAACACAAAACAATCTAAATGTCCGACAATCAGGTAAGTGCGAGTACGTACATTGCAGATATGGACTTACTGACATGGAAACGTGCCGGTTCATAGAAGGAACGCCTGGCACCAGCCAGGGGACAAAAAGATGGAGAACCTGCCTTCGGGGGCTCACAGCCCCCTAGGGAGGCAGCATGTCCGTGACCCGCTGCAGCTCCCACCCTCGTGAAGTGACGTGTCTACGCATGGTGCCTCTGGGTCACAGGGAATGCCACCTGAGCCTGCCCAGGGCTCAGGGAAGGGTTGATAAGGAAGGAGAGGCCCCGCTCTGCTGACGTCTCTCTAGGGACATGAGCGGAGGGAGAGGCCGAGTAACTTGCCCAAGGCGAGTGAGTGGCAGGGTGGGACCCCTGCCGAGAAGTCCCCTCCCAAACCGGTGCCTCTGACCCCTCTGCTGTGCTGTGGGTCCGGGCCGTTCCTCGATACCTTGATTTCAGCTGGTTTGTAGTAGCGTCTGTGGGGATCTTCCAGCGCCGTTCTATACCCATCTCTCAAGAAACGCTTAAATCCATACTTTCCCTTTAATTTTCTAACCACTTTATCCAGTGTCTGGTTAAACAAAGCTTCGTCATCCAGGGCGAATGCAGGATAACTGATGCAGGGGAGCAGGGCGGCATCTGTGTTCTGGGGGGCGACACGGAAAAAGGGGGCCATGTGAGTGCCCACGGGCTGGGGCCAACGCAGCCCCATGAGTCACCAAGGGGGCCTGCGGGGAGCCTGCTGTGCTCCGAGGACAGGCAGGTGCTACCGGTCCTACCAGTGTGGCTCAGCGAGCCTCGCGGAGGAGATAGAACGGGGCTCATTAACGAGATGTGTTTTCAAGTTCAACACTGAACTCAAACTTTAAGATATTAACGAAGACGGGGTATAAAAATTTGACACCAGTAGTTATTACAACTTGGTTTATAACAGTGAAAAACACAAAACAATCTAAATGTCCGACAATCAGGTAAGTGCGAGTACGTACATTGCAGATATGGACTTACTGACATGGAAACGTGCCGGTTCATAGAACTAGGTCATGAAGCTTGGTGAACAATGTTCTTCCAGTTTCGTAAAGTAGAGACATTACGTATGCACATAAAACACGTGGGAGCGCAAATGTCATCGCCCTAAGATTATAACTGAGTGGTCAAATAATGAGCGGATATTATATTATTATCTGCACGTTTGTGGGTTTTGTTTTCCTTTTACCAAAATTTCGAACTGCTTCTATACGATGGTCGTTATTAAAGAATTATTCCATTGTGGGTGTTTTCTAAAAGCGGAGCCGCAAATGACCCACAGGAAAATCGACAACTGGGTACTACGGGCACATCAAAGTCCATCGGCAATAACGACCACGTGTGACAGCGCATGTTAACTTGGGGTAAAAATGTCTCACGTGAGATCTGGACTCTCGAGGGAGCAGAGAGCACAGCGTCTGCCTGTTGCGGTTGTGAGCGTCGAGATCCACGAAGATGACTGACCAGGAACAGCCCTGGGCAAGAAGGAGAAAAGCGTTTCCGAAACTGAGGGAAAAGAGCTTGCAGAAGGTTGGGCATTTTGACTGTGAGAAATTCCACAAAAACAGTAACATTGGTTGCATTTTAGTGGCATTACAGAAGATTTTAATTTTCTTTTTTATACTTGCAGTATTTCTCAGATTTCTTACAATAAACATTAATTTTATAATCATAAAAAAATGTTATTTTTTACATTTTCCCCATTTCACCTTAGTTTTCTTATAAGTCAAAATGTATTGATTACAAAAAACTAATCAATTAAATATATTTATTTTAATAAAAACACAAATACTAATTTAGCTAACATTTTTGGCAATGAATAATGCAAAAACATTTAAATTCATAAAATCTCACTGTACAGTCCTAAAAAGAACACTGATTATATGATCAAACTAAACAAATTTAGATACAATCTAGAATTATGGAAATAAAAACTACTTGATTAAAATATGAAGACAGGAGAATCTCAAATAATAATAATGCGAATAACACTAGCTAATATTCCCTATGCCTGACATGGATCAGCTCACTTAATCCCCGTATGTAGATATTATTATCCTCATTTTATTGAAAAATGGATGCTAAATCTTGCTTTAACAAGGCAAGGGTTCAAAATCGAGTCTCCGACACAGAAGCTCACACGTTAATCACCAAGTTATACGACTTCACACGCTAAAAAATACCTTCGAATGAGAACCAGAAGCTTGGGGAGAAAAAGGTGTAACAAAACTGTTAACTGATTGCTACCCAAGTTGAACCTAGTTTAAAAAAAAAAAAAAATGTTTACTATGTAGCCATTAGTGCTTTCCACATTCCAGAGCAGAGCGCAGTCGTAAGTAAACATGACTGTTCTTTTCCTGGGAAGCTAAATATCTTGAGAATCAAGGAGAACGAAATTGGAAGGCGAAGACTGCTTCCGTGAAAGAGAAGACTCAGAAAAACTCCTGGGGGTAAGAAGAAGGCAACTATCGTAAAAATCATGCTGGCTCAATATTACCTTCTAAATCGCATCCCAACTCTCTCCAGCACGGAAGACGCATTCGCCCCGAACTCAAAACACCCTGAATCGATCTCCTAGACGGAAACGCGAAATCCAGACCAGGCCCTCTGAGGAATCCATACCTCAGATTCGGTAGGTGAGTATTTTTCCTGTGAATCCATGTTCACACATGGATACCAGCTCATGAAACAGAATTTCTCACTCATAGCACCATTTCTTAAATCTCTTTTAACTGACGAATAAATCAAGAAACAAGGAATGAATGAGCCTGTCTCTCACCAACCAGATTAATGCTCAACTATCCTTTCTGTTATTTGTCATTGCCTGCTCCTCTCTGCTCACAAAACGGCTTTGAACAACGCTTCACGCTGCAGCTGCCACTGTCGGAGTGACGTGTTCTCTGCTCGAGGACAAGAAACAATAGGAGCTGCCCTCTGTCCTCCGGGCGCTGGCCCAGGCGCGCACGAACACAGAAAGGCCGTGCGTGACGACACGTGGCTACGCACCCGGTGAGCAGCTAAGGTGAAAGGACAATGCTAATAATAAACCTGTGAAGGTGACAGGAGGGAAATAAAATAGGGAACTTGGGGTGCTTCGTGGAAAAAGTGAGGGCCAGAGTTAGGGTCTGAATCTGGGCAGAAAGAAGAACAAATAACGCTATGAGAACAAAACAGCAGAGAAATGAGAGGGTGTGAGACGTTGGGAGCCTGTGAATACGCAAAATCATAGGACTTATCATTTCTCTTTAGGCTGATAATTAATAAAGCTAATTGCATGCCGCATTAGTCTGCCTCAAGTCGGATTTTTAAAGATACAATCTAAGTGGGCTAATTTATAAATAATGAAGTAAAATGGCAAATATGGCAATTCTTGCCATTATTTGATTAAAACAGACAGCCAACTTCTACTTTCTGGCCACAAATAAATGGCTTATTTATCTAAATTCATCAAAGTATTTGTTCAGGCCTCTTCCTCTGCCAGCCTCTAAGAAATAATGTGTCACCATATTTCAAGACCGAGACCAAAGCTAGGTGACTTTATCGTTTGTCATCCTCTTACAAAAGCAGACCGTGCTTTAGGCAGATGGTCTGCATCTACAGGAGGATTAAATCCGCCTAAGCCCACAGGCAGTGCAGCGCTTCCTACTCAGAAGCAGATTTTTAAAAACCATCATCAAGGAAAACGTTCGTATGGACTTAATTATCACCTACTTTAAATCATCATGCACGTTAATTGCAGGCCTGCAAATTTCAAAGGCAGCCAGACACGCCTGCTCTGCTCCGAACACCTCGTCGCAGGAGCGCGCGCTGCGGTTGTCCCCTTTCAGATTCTGGACCCGGTTCGGGTCAGTATCGTGACTTCTCCAATTACAGACAGGAATTTGAAAGGGTGTTTAATAAGTATATATCATCCAGGACATCTGAGTGACTCTGAATATTTCATTTCATCATCCATTTCCTGAATCATGACAACTCTGCCTTAATATCCTGACTCCGTCTAAAGGGCATATTTTAAGACCGACAGCTCACACTTCACTCCCAAACTGAGTTCCATGACTGTGTTCGAGTAAATACACTGCATTACATGACACCCCCTTGACTGGTTTTACAGCTGGAAATGTGTCTCTTTCGATCACCTTTACTCATAAGGCTCATAATGCTCCTCTCCGCCCGCCACCTCCAGCAACTACCAATCGACTCTCTGCATCTGTGTTCTTAGTGCTGTGTTGTGTTCTGTTGTGTTGTTTACATTCCACACATCGGTGAGAGCAGAAGGTATTTGTCTTTCTCAGTCCGACTTATTTCATTTAGCATAATGCACTCAGTATCCATGCTGTTGAAAATGTCAAGATTTCATTCTTTTTTATGGATGAATAATATTGTATATGTGTATGTGTATATACATGTAGATGTGTGTGTGTATATATATATTACATATGTGTATATGTACGTTTACATATAAACATATATATATATCACATTTTCTTTATTCATTTATCCATCAATGGCCACTGAGATTTAGACATACGATTAAAGCCAATTGAGGGTTAAGGTAGGATTGAAACTTCTACTTCTTTGGCTGGACACGTTACACAAATTCCCCTCTCCGAGAGATATATGTTGATATACATTAAATTGAAACCAACATGAGAACCGACATGGAACATACACGATATATAATGCCAGAAATATTTAAAAGTGTGAAAACTCATCAACAGACTTGAGGGGAAAGTTACTGAACGAAGATAATGAGAATTCTTTATCAAGAGACTTGTTTTAATTAAGCAACGTTTTTTAGTCAGAAAACTAAAATTTAACTGGAAAATCATATTCAAAGAGAAGCTTGTTCAACCATGAGCTGCTACATAAATTTCAGACATTCTCTGATCATAAGGAATGATTTGGTTAATGAATGCCTAAATTAATTAAACACGTAATTCAAAATTAAAAAATCAAAGTTTGTTGTGGCTACTGCTGTTTTTTTTTTTTACCTGGTTGCCGAAAAGATTGAATCCATTAATTGCTTCTAGAGCTGCTTTTGCTAAGCCAACAGAGCTAAAAGAGAGAAAAAAATACTGTGTTACTCTGATATATCTGGCTATGAAATAAAAACCACCAATGAATATTCACAAGCAAGTTGCTTTATTAACACTCGTAACAACTTCTGAAGAAGAAAAACGTCTAAGAGACTTCAATCTGACATTTTAATTTTTCTTTTTTATAGTTAGTGATCTTCGGGGACAAATATTTCTAAGTCCACCTTGATCTAGACAAATGGTCATACCACTGTTGAGTGCAATTTTAATTCTAGTATCATTTATATTCACTAACTCAGGGAAAAAAGGATGAACTTTAGAGGCAGGTGTACGATGGCGACATGCACAGCAATAACCAGGCGTCCCAAGTTCAGATCAGTGTAAGAGAGGTTTCTGATGTCAACTCTGGGCCTTAATTTTCTTAAGGCCTGCATGTCATACATTACCACGAGTGTGGCCTGATATGCCCATTCAAATACTCTTCTCTCGGAAACTAATAAAATAGGCATTATTTTATGCTCACAGAACAACTGATTGCCATACCTCTCATTTTTTGCTATTTTCTTCTCTTTATAATAAAATGTGTCCTCTTTGGGACTCTCAAATGCCACCTACAATAGTACTGAAAAATGAGAACACCCAACTTTCATTAAAAATATGACGCTGTCATCTTATAAATATCAACCTTTAAGTATTTTAGATCTAATATCCAGTTTATTTTACTTACTGCAATTTATATTTTACTAAAAGCAACTGCATACGCCATTAATATCACTTAAAATTAGTGATCTGTCGTCATGTCAGCATCTGTCTTAGGCACTGACTAACAAAGTGGGGTCCCCAGAGTAGTGGCATCACCCCAGAACTCGCTAGCAACGCCCGTTCCCACTCCTCTCTGGGAGCGGGGCCCAACAATCAGCGTTAAGACGCCCTCCAGGCGTTCAAGTGCACTTTCAATTGGAGAACAGCTGTTCCAAGCTATTCGTGTCTCCATGATCTACATTTTCTGCGGCCGTTTACATGAAATGTTCTTGAGTAAGGGCTATTTTTATTACCAGATAGTAAATAGACAGGAAACTTTTGAAAAACACATGGATGGGAACATGGAGCAGACATAAGCTCTCCCTTCCTCTCACTGGATGTCACATAAACAAAGATAACGAGGCTCGGAGGGTGGAAAGCCGGGCTGGCGGGGGACCTCAGGGTTCTAGGGACCACAGAGTGCTGAGTGTCCTTTCTGCCTCATCCATACCAGACTCAGAGCAGAAACGCCAGTAGGTGCCTACAAAAAAAAAGGCCACAAAAGACCAGGAAAAGGGTAGCCCAGCAGAACAGGAAACTTTCAGACAACAACCACTCTGAAGAAACTGTGGCCTTGCCACACCCACTCCTGTGACGGCCAGTAGCAAACAGGCTCCGTTACTCCTAAGTCTGTAATGAGGACCCTCGCCCACTCCCCAGCGCTCTGAGCCGTGGGGGTGTCAGAGCGGTCTGAGGAGGAAGCCACGGCTTTCACCTCTGACGGGTGGTAAGGAGCCCCCCCACCCCCGGTGTCAGTGGCGATCCCCTGGGGAGCCTGGCCTTCCACCACCCAGCACTCATTAGGTGGGCCTCCCCTTCCAGCTGGGTTGGGGCACATGGTCCACTGGAGAGCCAGGATGCTGGCCCACGCCTGGCTGTAAAGAGGCCATGCCCCTGCCCTGTGTGTAAGTGGAGGCCACTTGGGAATCAGGAACGAGGCGCTCCTGTCCCCCTCAGCCAGGGGGTGCCACTGGCGGCCTCCTGGGAATCTAGATGCCCCAGCATCCCTCCCAGACCCAGCAGTGCTGAGGAGTCTACATCTTGGGCGTCAACAAAAACCTGGCTTTACATCTCACCGAGCAGTAAGGAGGTGACAGCCCTGCCCCCTCCTCCTGCCAGAGGCTGTGTCAAAAAAAAAAAAAAAAAATACAGCTAAAATCAAAAATTAAAATCAGATCCAAGGTCTGATAATATGATACTCAAAATGTCCATGTCTCAATCAAAAAGCACTCATCATATCTAGAACCAAAAATATCTCAGACTGAGTAATAAAGGACAATCAATACATGCTAACACTGAGATGAAGCGATGTGAGAATTATCTGACAAATATTTAAAGCAGCCATGTTAAAAATACTTCAATGAGCAATTATGAATATGATTGAAAAAAATGAAAAGACAGACAGCCTCGGCTAAGAAACGGAAAGTGTCAGCAAAGTTTTCCAAAGTGAAAAATGCAATAATCAAGACAAAAAGTTCACTGGGATCGATGACCAAATGGAAGAAGTGGAGGAAAGAATAACTGAACTGGAAGATTAAACACCAGAAATTATCCAATCCGAACAAAAGAGAGAAAACGGACTGGTAAGAAAATAGAGAGTCTCAGGGACCTTTGCAGACTGTAACAAAGACATGACAGCCACGACAGTGAACCCCCAAGGGGAAGGGTGGGGGAGGGGCGGGGCTAAAGGAAAGCTCTTGAAATAGTGGCCGAAAACTTCCCAGCAACAGACAGAAACTACAGATTCAAGCAGCTAAGTGAAACTCAAACAGAATAAGAGAGAAATATCCATACTGGGTCACATTGTAACGTCTAAAAACCACAGACAAAGGAAAAATCTGGAAAGCAGCTAGAGAAAACACCCTATCCCCGGAGGAAAAACAACTGACTTGCTCATCAGAAACCACGAAGGCTAAAAGGATGTGGCAAACAGCTGTCAATCACTGAAAGAGCAGACTTTCCCTTTCTAGATTACGCCGGGTCTCAGTGGCTCTGACAGATAGGGTGTGGCTGGTGGAAGCCACCTGCATGACCGCTGAGACCAGGGCATAAACCGTGGCACAGCTCCCGCCCAGCCCTCTCTTGGGGTGCTGAGCCTTGCACTCCAGCCACCACGCTGCAAGGAAGTCTCACGGCAGATGGCTCCTGCCAAGGTCCCATGCGACGATCCGCGACCTGAGCGACGAAGCCCTGGGATCAACTCCAGCCCCAGCCCCAGCGGGCGGCAAAGACATGAGACCCAGAGCATGAGCCACCTCGCCTAGCCCAGTCCACCTCAGCACCGCGAGAATTAATAAAGGAAGGTTGTCTGGTGCCTTTGAATTTGGGGCGGTTGATTTGCGACACCAGGTAACCAGAAAAGAACCTGAGTCAGGTCCCCAGCTCTATCACGGACCCAGGGCAGGTGGCCACACGCAGCCTCGCACACCACACATGAAGCCCACGCAGTACCTGCACGAGAAGTCCGGGCTACGAGAACCCAAGCAGAGGAGAGCACCTCGGAGCCGTGTATTCTGACCGTTCTCGCAAAAACATTCACCGCCAACGCGTTTTCTCACTTAGGGACGTGTCCCCGACGTCCGAGGGCTTCCCCGTGGGCCACCAACGCGCCAACGCCTGCACGCATATCACTGAGTAATGCCAGAAAACCTCCATTTACAGTGTGAGGCACACGTGCCAGTAAGACAGCTTGCGGTATTTTGAGACGGGAGAGGAAGTTACTTATTCGGAAGGCAAGTGCGTAAGGAATTCTGTGCTGGAGGAGAGGACGCTATACCTGGACGAGAGTAAATGTCAAATGTCCAGTTCCTTCCACTTGAACTTTCTTTCCCAATGCGATGCGCTGAATAATTGGGCTTAACTGAAATTTACAAATATCCATTGGATATTTAACTCTCTGGCAAGAGCAAGCTGTTCAGAAAACGAAACACTCTCCTAACTGATCCTACCTTTAACTGGCAAATATTATACGTAACATTGTCAGAATTAAAACTGTTTTACTGGCACAAGGCATTCTCAGAAAATTAAATGATTCTATGATTCGCTATCAAATATGTTATCAGGTAACTATTGTCAATAGGACACTCATCAATTTTATTTTCGCAAGGAGTTAATTCAACATTCACTTAAGAGGGCTAAAATACGGTGATGTCTGCTTGGGACATGGTGTGTAATAAAGTGAATTGTTGCATACATCAAAGCTTTTCTACAAAAGATGATGCGTTTCGACTAGGTGATTTATAACCCACCGTGAAATTCAAAAGACTAACCAGCAAGCACGGGAACTAAATGCACAGTCTGTGCTCATTAACACGGTGCTTCAGCTCCCTGAGCTCCCCAATCATACCTCCTGGAAGAGAAAAAACTTTACAGTACTATGGCTTTAATGGATGCTTGTGAATCGTTCGGTACAGCAAAAATACCTAAAATGAAGCAGAATGGATGGACAGTCGCTTCTGTCGCAGCTCAGAGATTGGGGTATCAAAAATGACTTAAGGAGGCTAAGTAGTTACTTTAAATAACAGGCACTATGTGGGCTAAAATGGTCACTGAAAGCATCTCAGGCTGAGCAAAGTGGAGCTGGTGTTTTAGTGACGGCTTTCCTTCCTGGAGAAGCTAAGGGAATGGAACGTAGCACCGTTAAAAAAAAAAGAAAAAAAAACCTTGAAAAGTCAGACTTAAATTCGCTTTGCTTCTACTGTCTTCTTTATACGGCAAACACGAGATTTAACAAAGTGAAAAATGAAATTATGCTGTTAAATGTAAAGATCTATTTAGCAGGTAGTGTTTCAAAAAGGTTTCTTTCCGTTTGGGCACATATCTGCCTTATTAGTTTATAAAGTACAGTTTTCCCTTTTAGCTTCCCAATAGCCCCCAAATTCAGTTAGGTTTGAGATTCAATTCATATATTATATAAGACTCATCTCTTTGCCAAAACAAAGAGTTTGGATTTAAAGGATTTAAAGAGAGCCTTAAAAAATAGGAATATCCCTAAATAAATGAGGAGAGGGAAATACGAAGATTAAAATACTTGAATTAAACTTGGAGCGGCTGATATAACTGGGAGATGCAATTCTGGGGGTTTAGAATTAGCACAACAATAAATAGGTACCGAAATGATACGTGGAGGTGATAGACGTAATCCAGCGATGTAGGATTTTAAAATGCTTGGGCGATAATTACAAGACCCAGAGAATAAATGAGAGGGAAGAGGAGAATCTGCTACAGTTCTCAGCACCCCAGAGAAGCTGAAGGAGCTTGAGGTCAACGGGGAGGCCGGCAGGGCAGGGAACGCCTGCTGAGAAGCCTTCTCAGACGAGCACGGCGCAGGCAGAGTGAACAGCTGAGCAGGGTGACGCTCCTTCCAGAACGAGGTTCGGATAAATGCAAGGGGATCACCTTTCAGAAAGAAACTGTGGGGTTTACCTAACAAGTACTAATAATTCAAGAATTTGAACTATAGGGGATACCAGCGAGCCTGGGGCTGAGCAGGGCGGGTGGGGAGGGCCTGACAAAGCGAGCACCAGGCTGAATCGAGTGAGCTGACTGATGGAGGCGCCCCTGAATCCTATCACGGTTCCACCCACCGAGCGAGTGGGGACACTCCTGTTCTCCACTGTCTGCTGTTCTTCCAAACTTTAGGAAACGTGTGAAGACTTTAAAATGCAGTGGGAAAGAGGAGAAACAGCCTGGGTGTCCTCGGCTGTACAGCCCACGGACTGCACTTAAAGGACCCCAGAGCGTGGAAGCTGACTTCAGAACACCGTGTGCACGTGCGTGTACGTGTGCGTGTGCTGGGGGCCCGGGGCAGTATTCTTCTCTGATCGGTGTGCGTCTTAGGAGGAATGTGCCCAGCGTGACAGAGGAAAGGAGGGACATCCGGCACCCAGTCACTCGGGTCACGTACCAAGGCGACGTCCGATCATGCTCTGCTCACTCTCAGACTCCTGCCGCGGAGGCCTGGGCAGCAGACAGACAGACGGACGGAGCGTGGCACAGTCGGGAGGCATAGGGCAGCGTGAGCACGTGCAGCAAGACCCGCCGTGCGCTATTTCAGGCTGGAACTGTGAAGACAGCTTAAGGGCGTAACGAGGATGTCGCACTAAGCAGTGAAGGCCAGATCGGACCAGGCACAGACAGCGCTGCGATGTCTCACGCAGCAACAGACCGAGCTGGGACTTAATCCCCGGCTGGCAGCGGCTCTCCATCCCGCTACCCAGGCGCACGCACAGGAAGCTACAGCCACCCACGACCGCCGTGGCCGCATCCGTGAGTGCCAAGTTCCCCTGCGGCTTCAAAACAGACCCTTTTGGCACCAGAAGTGACACATCCAAAGCAGGATGTAGAGATCTGAGCTCAGAAACATTTGAAAAAAAATATATGTTGTATGTTATGGGGACTTATCAAGTGTTATACTCTGGAAAATTAGAAGGAAAATGTTAAATGTCTAAAACCCATCCCCCAGTCTAAACGACAAACTTCATTTTCCGCTCATCTGAAAACTGGTCTGCTAAAGTTAGGATTCATTTTGCATGCGAAGGGTAGCAAAGGACACTACAAAATGAGCCCCCAAGCCTTGAAATAAAATCTTTTATGATTCAATTTAAAGACTGGCACCTTAGCCCCAGGAAAGCAAACTGCTGTTTTCACTGGGGGCCTTCCCACACCCTCACGGCAGGGCTAGGCTTCGACGCAAGGTTCTTGCTGAGTTTACAGCGGGTCCTGAAACACAACTGTTTCATTCACTGTCATTTCATTATGACAATGATGAGCAGAAAAAACACGCATCCGTCCCCGGGGGGCCACCGGAGTGTGCTGTCCACCTGCGTCTGGGCGGGTTTTCCCCCGGGACTCCGGTTTCCTCCCACATCCCAAAGACGGGGCGGTGGGGACACCGGCGTGTCTGATCTGTCCCCGAACAAGAGCGCAAGTGTCCGTCGGTGCTCGCTGCGGGGGAAGGGTGTCCCCTGCAGACGGGGCCCCGCCCGGCACCCTGCACGAAAACATCGTGGTCTTGTTTTTATTAAATTTTCTTAAATGTCTGTAGAGCTCACATTTCTTTCCATGTTTAATATTAGAAGTGTTTTGGGGTCTTTATTGAGAAGTTTGGTGATATTTTTGTGGCCAGAAATATGCTGTTAGGAACGTAACCTTTGTTTATATCAATGAGCCTACATTAAAATCGGTTTCATTATACGCCATTTTGCTTAAAGTCACAGTTTCCAAGGACCTGCTGACGTCAGTGAGGACCGAATGAACGACAGTTTTGCAAACAGGAAACCCCGACGCCAAACACGTTGCACTGAAAACGATGTCAGGGCGATCGACGTCAGGGCTAGCTCATCGTGCCGCCGTAAGCTAGCTCATCGTTAAAAAGCAGAGAAGGGCCTGACAAACCACAGACACTGAGAAGGCACGTCTTTAAAAATCACCTTTTCTAATCGAATCCACTTTCTTGTAATTTCACTGATAATCTGGAATGCTGAGAATTTAATTTGGACGATGGCTGAAATACATTATCTTCTTATTTTTTTATTTGCCAGAATTTGTTTTATGTCTGAAGTTGCCCACAAATTTTTTCTCTACTTCACTGACTCCTTCACTGATTACTCTTCTGCTGCATACTATAAAAATGCCTCATACGAATCATAAAACTTATAGAAAAGCGTTTGTATATAAGCAGAGTTAATCTGAAGGTCCTTTTTGTCTCAATCTGTGTTATTAAAACGTGCTGAACTGTGAGGGTGCACTTGAACTCTAGTGCTTACTCGTGCCAGGTCGTCATGATTACTGCAGCCATTACAACTTTATCAAGTAGACACCACCATCATCTGCACTTTGAAAACGAGGAAACCAAGGCGCTATCCCGCTAGCGACCTGGGGCCTGCCTTCCGTTATGAACTATCTTACCTGAGCTAAACTTTCTGTGTGATCGGTCCTTCTAAGCAAACAGCTTTCGAGCTCCAGAGTCCCCTTAACCAGTATTTCTCAAACTGTCTCTTGACTTCATTTAAGTCTCAATGATCTAAGCTGACCTACAGCTAATAACCTTTAAATTCTTAAATCTTTTTGTGTTAAATGGACAGGACTAATTGAGCTATGCTTTTTACTTCAAAGATGACCTTGTGGGCATAAATTTCAAGTATCTGAGAAGTGCAATCAGTCACTGAAGCTATTTCCCTAACGCTAAGGAGCAAATGAAATTCATAAACTGCTAACATCACTCGCCAGCTACATTTGGATAATCGAGCCCACTAACCCCCAGTTCAAGATGCTAATCACGCCTCTTCCAGGAAACAATGAATGCTAACTTTGATCTGAAAGGTCAGGATGGAAATCAGCTCTGCACATGGAAGGGGGTGTACACGCAGTGCATGTACACGGGTGCTTGGCGGCCTCAATGCGCTCGGTCTTTCGAAGCGCCGCGAAGAGGAGGAAGGAAAAGGCCAGCAGAGCAGAAAGGCCGAGCCGAGGGTCAGGGGCCGACGCGTAAGCATGGCGCCCGGGGGGCTGGGAACACCCTGCACCCCCTGCACCCCTGCACCTGCCCGCAGGCGCTGAGGGCAGGCTCTTGGGCTTGAATTTTAAGTGAATTTCATCTGCATCACACACAGGAAAAAAGATGAAAATCAACATAGAAACCACGATTCCAGTCTAATACTCTGATTTTTATTCATATTCAAATGCACACATTTAAATTAAAAAAAAAAAAAAACACTCAGAAATCAGCAAATTACCTCGAATGTAGCTCTGTGCTGCCATTATTATACTTGAAACAAGGTTTTGAATAAAAGAGACCTGAAGGAAAGAGACAGAACATAAGAACGCATGCGATAGCAGGACGTTTAGCTATTGATAAGAACAATCAGATACCGTTGGAAATCCAAATACCTACTTGCCTAGCGACACTTGAACACGTTGAAAGTGTTGTGATTATTACATTACTACTATGAATACCGTGTTATTCTAATCGAAAGCCCGAAGCGAGAGCCTGATATTATCCCACGCAGAAATAAAATTCACATCCTGTTAACGCTTCAACGATAAGTCTTCAATGATGTATCTATTTCTGTTCATGAAAACAGCATCTTAAGAATTAAGAAAAATGTAAAGCACTGTTTTATACTAGATAATAATATTTGGAATCTAAAATGTCCCTGTAAATGTTAAATAAGTCTACAACTTTGGGTGCAGAAAGGTATTTTTCAGCTCTGTGACGAGCCTGTCCCGTGCCGGGCCGGCGTGGTGTCTTGGGTCCCTTATTCCTGGAACCTTCTCCCTGGTCGTCCTGTGATTACAGGGACCCAGTTTCAGAGAGCCGAAGCTCATAGGCAGAGTTGGGCTCCAAGCAACAGACCAGGAGTCACACAGCCTTCCGTTAAAAATCTCAGACATTTGATGAGACTCGCGCTCTCAAAAGTAACTATGGAAAGCAAAGAGTATGGTCAGCTCTTATGTAATGCAAGTTTATTCATTTCGATGAAGGTGACATCGTAAGTGGGCTGCCGGTCCGATGGCAGGGCTGCCGGTCCAGGGCCTTTAATTTGCTCATCGCGTTTTGGTTCGATGTGGCTGACGGAAGTCGTGCGACTCTCCCGCCCTCCTCCTCACACACCCCAGTCCGCCCTACACACCCCGAATAATTTCATGTTTTAAAAGCCTCAGTATTAAAAAAAAAAAATCATACCTTAAAAAAAAGTCTCCCTAACAAACTAGAGGCTACTGCTTACCAGGCTGGCCCCAGCCACACCCAAGGCCTGGTATTTGTGTCGCTGTGCGGTCCCCTCGCACGTGACTCCCGTAAGAAATAAGGTGCTGTGACGTGCCGAGGGCGCCCCTGAGCTGGGTCACACCGCGGACCTCGCCTTGCTCTCCCGGATGGCCCACCGGACGTCAGGACACTCACGCAGCCCTGCAGAGAGGACGTGCGCGATGCCCTGTGACGCAGCCACCTCAGAGGCGAGTGCCCGGTCTCCGCGAAGCCTCGCGCACAGACCGGGCTGTAAGTTTAACACATGTTCTGGATCTCTCTTCAGATAAAGAAGAGAAAGCGAATAACAGTACCAAGCAGAACGACAGAACGTTCTTTCGCGGTGTTAGTCTTTAACATAAAACCAGTATCTGTGCATCACAGTACTCTGCGTCACAGACGCGGATGCAGGCTGGGCATCCACGACCACGACACGCAGTGGGCAGGGGGAGGAGTGGAGAGTGAGGGCGCCCGACTGTGCCCGCGCTCGGAGTGTGCTCCCAGCGCGACCCCGGCCCCCGGCAAATGCAGAGCGTCTTACGCAGGGTGCGCGTGACACTTAAGACGATGGCCTTCTCCTTAAGGAATTACAATGTGTGTATGAACTTCCCAGAAACAGGAGAATCAGTAAAGATACGGTGATGAGCTGTCAAAGAAGGAAAATGGCTTATTAAAAACCCAAGTGCCGACGATAAAATATGTAAGTTATAGTACATACGTGTGTTTACTTTGCATCTGTGGATGTGAGTGAGTGTGTGTGTGTGTGTGTGTGTGCGTGTGTGTGTGTGTGTGTGTGTGTATCCCCCAAATTATTCAACCCTAAGGAAAACAAGGACTGGGGCGATTTGAAGCTTACACAGAGACAGGAGTGCATGGCAGCCCCCCTCCTTCCCAGGTCCCTGGAGCACCCTGAATGTGAACACGCTTGGGGAGGAAAAGGGGGGCTGGGATTACGAAGGCGCCATCCAGGGCGGAAGGCGCGATCAGCAGGGAAAAGGGTTCCAGCTCACGCCGCCTTTCACAGGGTTCGTCTCTGAAACGCCAAGCCAGAGGGGCTCCCCTCGGGAAGGCCCCGCGCGGGCCATGCACTGCCGGCCACGTGACTCCTGGCACGGGGCACAGGCTTCATGGGGAGAGCTGGTGGCAGCGACATCACATTTTATCATTCCATTACTTTAAGTGGACATGTTGAAGGCTTAGTGACATTGGCCACGTGGAAATGTATTACCAAATAAACCTATATGGCCCTCCCCAAAAAAGCATAAGAAAAAGGAATAAATTTAACAAAACACCGAAATTGCTTAAGTATAGATGCATTATATAAAACAGAATGCAAAGGTTAAAGCGATGTATTTATGGAAAATGTCAATTGACAAATGAAGATATTCAGAAAGCAAAAAATAAGTGTCAAAAATGGAAAATGAAAATAAAATATCAAATGAAAAAGCCACCACTAACAAATGCAATTTCGCCGGAGCCGTTGGGGACGCCAGCGGCAAATTGCTAAGGACCAATCGCTGGGGACTGTCGCGTTAGATGTTCCTTATTGTAAGCGGTCGTCACACCCTGAGACACTTCGCCCAGTGGGGTCGCTGGTGGGGGCAGAGGCGAGAGGCTGGCCAGGTGGCTCTGGGAGCCCTCCCCCGCCCGCCCGACACGCCTCCTCGGCTTGATCTGTACGGAGGGTGCTGCCTAAGGTCGGCCTGACACCGGAGAGTCACAGCCGCTCCCCACCCAAAACATCTGAGCGGCGTCTCACAGTGTCGTGAAAAATGGGAACCATTTAGATGAAATGAAAACATGATCCTCTTTGCTGAAGCGAACGGAAGAAACCTTAAGTGGCTGTTATTCATTTCTCCTCATCATATCTCCTTCATCACGTCCCTTCGCTTCTGAATCGACTTCACTTACTGTAATTAAAAAGCGCAGCTGAAGGACTCACGGGGCATAAGCCACTACAGGGCAGGACGCCACGTACCAAGTTCACGGCAGTCTCTGCCGCCCGCGGACGGTCCTGTGTCTCACATACACAGCGACCGTTTTCCCCGCGTGGGTCACGGAGGAGGGACAAGGCCAAGTGCAGCTCCTCTTTGATGGACTTCTCACTGCATGCGCGGCCTCGAAAATAAAATCTTTTTGTTCTCACTGTGGCACATTTCGAAATGTGTCAGCTCGTTTGTGTGTTCGTTCAAGCATTAGTGCCTATGAAAGAAACGCCCCTCAACTCTGGGATATAAATTCTTTTCAAATTTCCAATGAGAATAAGAACACGGTATTTATCTTTTGAAAAACATCAAGAGCCCTACTGAGAGACGCCGCGAATAAAAATTATACAATATGATAAAATATCTACTTTTAAAAGGATGAGTTACAAAGTTACAAAAAGCGATGCCGTGAAAAAAGACATAAGAACTGAGAAAACCTGCAAACGCTATTTCATTTCCATCATCACTAAAACTTTCTAGCCATTAGTTTTCATTTCAGACCACCTGAAATAGAGCCTTCGACGGAGTAAAGTCCTATGTAACTTGTCTATTTGTTTATTCTTAAAGTGCTTTGCCCTGAAAATACAAAGCCTGCTTGATCCAATATCCCGAATCAAGTATCTGATTATCTGAATTTAAGAATACTCCGGTTTTATGAAACTGAAAACGAGACTTAAAAAGTAATAGACAGACAGACAGACCGAGCGAGCGAGCGACGGCCGAGGGCCGACCCGGGGACAGCGCACCTCGTCCGTGTTGTAGACGATCTGCAGGCCCGAGGAGATCATCTCCACCAGGTAGAGCAGGTACAGGGACACCGCGTTGATCTGCGAACGAACAGCAACAGCAAAGGTTAATGGAACGACCGGACCAACGACAAACGTACTGACATGAAATGCACAAGCTAACATCGCGAGTCCTTTGCTCTGACAGTGGCACTTAAAAACCGTTTCCCTTCCCGCTGTGAAATGAAGGAGCTGTGGATTCTGTTCTCAATGAAAGCCCAGCTTTGTCGGTAAAACTCTCAAATCCTCGAATTCACTGTGCTGGTGAACGCCCGACTAGGGACCGGGCCACAGGTGGGACTTTTAGCAGGTGGTCCTTCGATGTTTGTTTCCGAAGGCTTATTTTCAAACTTGGGGCTAAGTACACCCACACCGGGATATTTTTGCCCCCAAGGCAGCTACGTAATACCAATCCATCTCCAAGGCACGTAGATGAAAAAGCCCCTGGGCCGGGGAAACGTGAGGACCATGCCAGCAGACCATAAGCCATAAGCAGTGCATCCTGAAAACGGCCTTATTTGCAAAGAATCCAGAATTTATGAAAGCAGCTGCAGAGTCATATTAAGTTTCATCGGTGGTATCGCATACAATTTAAAATATGTTTATGAGCAAATCGGTTTTATAAACAAATGAGTTTTTTCTAGTTGATTAATTAGTCTCTGAAAGATAGACATTATATGATCTAAACAAACAAACAAAAATAAAGACAAGAATATCCGCTTTAACGCAAAGAGTCTCACAGAATCCTGAATGGGAAGCGTAAATCGTTTCAAGTAAACAAGCAGTGAAGGGTAAATACCATGACATGGCCGGAAAAGACCATATAGCGTGATTCCATTTATACAAAATGTACAGAATAGGCAAATTCGCAGAGATCCACGGCTGACTGGTGACTGCCCAGGGCTGGGGAATCCGGGGGAGATAGGGTGACTGCTAACGAGCACGGGATTCCTTTACGGGGCGATGAAATGTTCTGAATCCGATGATGACAGCAGCTACACGACTCCCTGAATATATTAAAACCACTGAATTGTACGCTGTTACTAGGTGAACTGTATGTTATGCAAATTATTTCTCAATAAAGCTGTTACACAAATAACAAACAAAATAAAGAAATAGGAAGCAGTGAAAATGTTCCATTGAGCCAGGAAACTGCTACCTTGAGTTAAAAACAAAGAGAAAGCAAGATGTGATTTCTCTCATGTCACCCTTGACTCTCCTCCAGGCCCTGCTGGGTAAATGACAGAATGCTGGAGTGGACAGAGGTTTTTTGGTACCCTAGACCTCGGGCAAAGTGGCCCTGTACCGCCAGGGCCTGGCAGAGCCGGTGGCTCCCAGGGGAAGCAGGATCATCCTGGATGTCCCCTGCCTTCCCAGTCCTCAAAGTCCAGCAGGTGTCAAAGTCTTGTCAAGACCCAAGTGGGCCACACAAAAAGACACGGGACTCTGGTGACAGGTGATTTAGCTTGATATGAACTTCTGAGTGACCTTCCTCAGGACAGGGTGCAGCAGGGCTTCGTCCCACGGCAGACACCCAGACATTGGATCGTGGCACTGACGCCAGCCTGTCAGAAACGGCGTCAGGGAAAGTTCATTCCTGTGAACAGCAACTTAGGGCTACACCTACGACAGCTCTCTGCTCTGACTTTTGGGATGCTTCTGTGAGAAAATATCAGTACATGACAAACTGTAAAGGGACTGCCAGATGGCAGGCTGACCAGCATTCACTGAGTACCCACTACATGCCAGGCACTGAGCTTAAATTCTGGGGTACGAAAATAAGTAGGCTGTTAACTTCTAAAATCTAATTTCAGATGGTAAACGTATCTGTCAAATTGAAAGGAACATATAACCTAACCGTGTGATCATTATAAGATCGAGCAACTCCATATTCATAGAATACTAATTCTCAAAGGAACGGGTTACAAATAAGTGTAAGAGTTTCTGCTGTGCAGAAACGGGCCAGTGCACTTTCTGTGACTGGAGGAGTCACACTAAGATAAGACATTTCAGGTCCCTAGTGAGAGGAAGGATAAAAAGGAGATACTGGTGTTTTTGTAAGAAATGTATGGTTATTAAGTATTGTGTCCTAAAGATGGCTGAACCGAATGATGAGCAGAAGAAAATCCACTGAAGATAAACAGCACATGTGACCTTCGTGTCCTGGAAACCAGGCGACAGGACGCCCGGGGAAAAAGCAGCACGCAAATGTGAGAGAGAAAGAGGTAAAAACAAAACAAACACCCTACGGTGTATTCTCAGCATAGGTACGAAATTTAACATATTATAGAAGACGAAATTTACAGACTCCAGAGTGCCTCTGGAATGTCACTGCAAGGGTGTTTTTAGCTTTACTGCAAACTGATACAGTAAAAACGAATGTGGCAGAAACTTCTGATTTGCTGTTACAGCGCTGTCAACTGTCTTTCATCCCTAGTTCCTAAGTGTTGAAATTCCTCCAAATTTGATAACAAGTGCAAGCTTTTCTCAAAACCACAGGATTCCTTCTTCCGGCTAGCTATGAGGTCACACTCCACCCAGCTGCCCTGTTTGCTCCTGGACCGAGGGGTCAGTCCTATTTCATATCCAGCCATAGTCACTGACTCAGCCCTGGTGGTCAGCATTTCATTCCTCATTTCATGGTAGATTTTGCCACTGCCATCTGAACCGTTTCTGAAATCTACTTTCTGACACCTGGACATGGCCTCGGATCTGCTAAGAGGCGGAGTGTGAGTGTCGCCGCCTCTCTTTACCTGGAGGTGGCCGTACTCCTCGTAGGACAGGAGCTCATCCCCCGTGTGCACGTGGAAAATGGAGTGCAGACACGTCGCCGGCCGCGGGTCCTGCTTGAACTGCTGGACCTGGAATTCAGAATCAAAGTGACGTCACGCTCGTAACCCACATTCTCCTCCGCGGTCAGAGTGCGTAAGCGAGTTTTCATAAAACTTTTTAACGAGGAAGGTTAAAGGTTCGAGGCAGAGGACAGAACAAAGCAGAAATGCTACTTTTTCTAAAGAAACCAAACGCAGACAAAACGCATTAACTACTAATTAATAGAGCTAACGTGATTGTTGACTACTTAATTGATATTTTACAAACAAAGCAACTCAAGTGTAACGGGGAGCATGCTGACCTAGCAGCGATGGCGTTTGCAATGTTTGGCTTATTTTATTTTAGAGTCAAATCATGGACTGATTCGCTCTGTGGGACAGGGTTCCCGGGTTTGTGTCCCACTGCACTGCTATTTGGAAATGCCTGCGGTGACAACGGAAAGTGCTTCCGGCCACATTCCAACTGAGCAAGCATCGAACCTTCTAACACTCTCTCTTTCTCTAAGGACCACAAATCACAACCTAGACCCCCAACACGTTCCCATTTCCACATGTACTCTTACCGCTAAGGCAACAGCTCTAAGAGAACAGAGTCCATACCCTAACTTACTGATCGAACATACAACTTAACCATTTTAAAATGCTAAGTAAATACTAAATGATCTAACAGAGCCTATGGCCCGATCCTGTCTGATCTCGGAAGCTAAGCAGGGTCGGGCCTGGTTAGTATTTGGATGGGAGACCACCTAGGAAGACCAGGTGCTGTAGGTGTAAAAAATAATAAAATAAAATAAATGATCTAACAGACAAACTCTAAAAACAAATAACAACAACAAAAAAATCCGTCTACTCTCTTAGGTCCTGTTCAACTTGGCAAACATATACCGATGCCAACGACACGCCAACCGCTGGGCTAGTCCCGGAAATACGAGATGGACCGGGACAGAGAACGAGATACAAAGACACGTAAGTCTATGAAGAGGCAATGGTTTTCTTCTCTCTCTGAAACGATGCAAGTGATGATATTATCTGGTGGGTAAGGATCTTGCGTTGCTCCACCTGGCTCAGGTAACTACAGAGCCATGTTCTCTTCTCTACCTTCGAGTTCTTCTCATCCTTAAAATCCTATCAAAAAAACCATCTTCGTTTATAAGGTCCCTTCTGAACCTCAGCTAAATTCCTTCCTCTGGATTCCCACATCGGGGTGCTTATCCCTCAATTATTTCCACGGTCTTCTATTTGTAATAGTTGCTGTATTGCCCGCCATCTTATAAGCCTCTAGGAGGTACACTAACCAGTATGGTAGCCACTAGCTATGTGTAGCTCTAAATTTAATGACAACTACAAGTAAGTAAAATGTGGAAATTCACCGCCTCCGTCACACTGGCCACATCTCAAGTGCTCAATAGCCAAATGTGCCTAGTGGCTTCTGTGTCGCTCAGCACGGTGACACGGAACACCCCTATCCCCACAGAAAGTTTGCTGGGCAGCACTGTGCTGGCGGACAAACACACTAACTAACACACCTTCCTACCCCCAAGAGCCCTGCACAAACGAATGCAGCTGCCCTGGGACAGGTGCACACAATGCAAGTCGGGACCTGTCGGCAGGTAATCAGGAATGAGAGAACGCGGCGAGAGGAGAGGTGTGTGTCTTCTAACCTGAAGTGACCATGCCATCCAGGGTGGACTCAGAGAAGTGAGGAGGCTGTCCCTTCTCCATACCTGAACTACTGGAAACAGCCTGAGGCCACACAGACAGAAGAAGCCAATGTGGCCGCTTCCTTGACTATGCCATGATTATTACCTCAACGTATGGAACATGATTCTGGACTCTTCGACAAGAATATAATTACATTAAAACAAGATCCGTTTTGCCCATTTGATAGGAGCTATAAAATGATAAGGTTTTATCAGTTAGATAAAGTGATTGCTGCAGTTGACAAGGCAGTGTCTGTCATTTGTCTTCAAGACACGCAAGTACCCAGTCACTTTTTATATTCAGTCGCTGTGTCAGGGGAAAAGCAAGTAAAAAATGATCTAAGACGCTCAAATGGGAAATTACATAACTATACCTTGAGTCTTAAAGCTGTTAAACGACAAATAACTTAAAATTTCGGGAAAAAAATAAGACCCAAACTTTATAAGCTTTGAAATTTAACGAGGCATATTATATGTGAATTATAGACAAGAAGTACTCTTGAAAGCTGTCAAAATCAAGGATACATTAATTAGTATTTTACGATGTCTGCGTCTGGCAGGTAAAAATAAAGCAAAATTTTCTAGACTAAAAAAATTTGGGAATAATGTTTTCTCTGCTTGTATTTTATTGGATTTTTCTTGAAAACTTTAATCATTGTAAATAAACATCTTATTTTGAAAAAGGTAACTGAGTATTGTGTCGTCTATTCTTAATTTATACCCTTAAAATACGCTCTTAGGTAGAAAAAAATAATCACATAAAGGAATCCTGGAAGAATAAATTTTATAAAATTTTAATGATGTCTCATGAATTAAAAACTTAGTAGCATTTTAAACAAAAATTTTAAGTAGATAAAGACAGCAATATTCATAGCATATCGTAAAGCAAGTCTCTGCCCTCCAAACTGCAGATTGAATCAATTCTGAAAAGTCCTGAATGCTTCTAAATGAGAGAATAGGTATGTGAACATTTAGAGGTAAAAAAAAATACCTTCTGTTAATAAGTAAGCATTTAGACAAGTGGCAAGACAATAATAGACAGAAATCAGATTGTTCTATTCTGAAAATCAAGGAAAAGTATTTATCCACTCGAATTCCTAATAAATTAAGAATATCTCTTTTAGTAGCGTTTTTAGAAAATATGTCGGGAAGCGTGTTTTACACAGAGAAATCATCAAAAGTGGGAAGCCTTCAACTTTCTGGTCATGACTTTGCTTAAGAGAGAATAATTTTAATAAAAAGAGAGAAAGGAGGGAAGGGAGGGAGGGAGAAATGGGGAGAAGGAAAGAGAGGAAGGGGGAGGGAGGGAGGGAGGGTGGGTGAGAAGACAGAGAAGATGAGCCTTAAGGACAAAGAATAAATGGACCACAAATAGGCTTCATTTAGTTTTAAGGAAAGGCCAAAAGACATCTATTTCACATTTTAAAACATGGTAACGTTGCCATGGACTCAGGAAGGAAATGGGGAGCACCAGTAAGAGGTGACGGCCCGGCGGGAGGCAGTGGGCCGGGCGCGCGGCTGGCTCAATGTCCCTGCGTCAGCGCCCCCCTCAGCCTCATGTGGATTACTGTAACCGCCTCCATCCCTACGCTGAAAGGTCTGGGCATCAAAAACGTTAGAACAGGAAAATGCTTTAAAATCTGTAAACCCCTCCATCCTGTGGTATGCATTAAGACCTAATCCCAATGTAATCCATACCTTCTTTCGACTCAAACTTATTTGCATGGTTTACCCGTGTACTTATATAAAGGAACGATAATCCTTTGTAATTAAGAAATTTAAGACAGTTAAGTTACATTCAAGCTGTATTCAAAAGAAAACATAACTGTGAAGACTGGTTAGTAAGAATGAATAATATTTAGAAAGGGACGTTAACAATTGGCTAAACTAGCCACAAAGTAAAAGCTTTATATTACAGCATGTCCTTCCTTCTGATAAACGATTCTAATTTAAGTCCGTCAGCTTGTTTAACAAACACATGAAATTCATGGCTCTCGCAGTGTTTCTTTGAGAGAAAAGCTGAATTCACAGGCATTAGGCATTCATGAAATGATAAATGTGAAATAAACACTAAGTTCCTCACGCTTTGGAAAATAATGTTCATCGTAATTACTTCAACATATATGACATATCAGTTTAATTCAAGTACGTCAATATGACATAGTACTTTATTTCAAGCATTGAAAAACCTTTATGATAATGATTTGCAAAGTCAAATCTCAGTACACAAATTACAGGTTTGTCACACATCTCTATTATCAGCCTGCGAAAAAATGTACTTTCCTGCAAAGTAACATTTTCTTGTTGCCATATTTTGGTGGCAGAATATAAACGATTAATTTTCTAAGTTTTAACTTCAGATATAGGTCTTAAGAAGAAAATGTGCCACCACAGTCTTTGGATCCTTTTCAAGCATAAATGAAAACTTAATGTAATATTCACATGATAAAAACATACAAAATATTACATAATCAAAATTGCATGTCTAATTATTGATGTGAGTCTTTGTTAATGAATCATCAAACTGGGGTGGTCCAGGAGACACATGACAGACA